CTCAGTTTCCTCATCTGTAAAATGGAGATGATAATAGCACCTACCTCCAAGGCCTGTTCTGAGAATCAGATCAGATCAGATGAGATGATCATAGTAGAGCACTTAACACAGTACTGGGCACATATTATTCCCTCCCAAACTCAAATAGACATCCTAAACCACTCTACCAGCTCTAGTCGACTGGGCAGAGTAGGCAAAACCCCTTTGGGGGCATCCTTTTCTGGTACTCCTCTTCCTTCTTCACTTTTCAATTCCCAGGGAGCCTCGTGCCCTCCTGCTTCCTCCCAGCTGCTATAGGAACTCCATCTTTCCCTATTCCCTTATCTCCTGTGATAATGATCCCATTCTGTTCCTATGTTCCATTCTCTCATGGCCCAGGCTTCTGAAAGCATTCATTCATTCTATAAATACTATTTATTCTATAATGCTATTCATTTTATAGATACTATTCTATAATATACATTCTATAAAATGCTAAATACCTATGTACAAAGCAGGATGCTGGCTCCAGGGCAGGAGTAGATATCTTTACCCTGGGGTAGAGAGTGTGTGGGGAGAAATATTTGGTAAATATTTCTATTATCCTATTGAAACATCCCCATAGTGATCATCAAAAAATTTATATTGAGCAGCTTTGTGATATCAAAAAAATATTACGTATGAAATAGTTTTCTTTATGAAAAATGAATGAATCTTTTTGTTTGATTTCTTAGGTGAATATACATGGCAAACTGCTAGAGTTCCTTTCCTTTCATATTCTATGTTGAATATGGGGCACAGGATGGCTTTCCTGAAAGCTGATGAGGACAGGAACCCTGTTCTAGAAATACAAAAATAACAACTGAAAACAGCCCCCGCCTTCAAAGAGCTTACGTTCTACTAGTCTGTGCTGATGCCTTTGTGGGCATTTAAAGGTTCATGTATTACATCCTATTTATCAAGCAACCTATTTGGGTTGAACTGGGAGCCTTTTAGAGACCTCAATCCAGAGGAGTGGCTCCAATGGGCTGCCAGGTGGAGGAGATGCTTTGGAGTGGGGGTGGAGGGTGCAGCCCTGCAGATGGCCGGGGACAATCTACTCCCTGTTTATGTGGGCTGCACCACCAAACAGAACGGGGATCACAGGATAAATTAGGATGAGAACTGAGGCCTCCTAAGCAAGGACTTTCCAGCTGTTAGGGCTCTCCGCCTCCTGAAATTCCTAAGCAGAGACTAATGGTTAGGAAGCTTTTCCTGGTCAAGCCTCAGATGACTTTTTTGTCACTTCTAAATACCACTCCGGGTATGGGGTAATGCTGGCTGTGGCAAAGCAGAACAAGACTAATCCATCTTCTTACGAAAGCCCTTTAAATACCCCAAGACGGCTCTGATGCCTTTGAAGCCTTCTTCACCTGGCCAAACATTCCTGGCTTCTTCAATCAATCTTTTACACCAGAGGTGTCAGGCTCAATGGTCAGACAACATTCTCCAAGGAGGCTTGAACCAGATTAAAAAGGTAATTGGGAAACGTTTAACGAAACAAATACAAACACAATAAAACACAGATACTATTACTACGTGGTTTTCTAAGTCACTAAGTCAAGGGATCCTTAGGTCCAGCCGTTTCTATTTGCCTTTGACATTCCTGGGCCAGCCAACGATCTCTTAAGTACTTAAGAGTTAGCTTTTGCTCCCAGCCTCACAATTCTTCTCTCCTCCAGACTCAACGTTCACGGTTTCTTCCCTCACGTGGCATGGGCTCTTGTTCTCACTCCATTCTGTAAGTTCTTCCTGGTTCTTCCCAAAATATGGTGATCAGAACTGAACATAGCTATGGTCTGGCCAGGGAAGAAGATGGTTGGATGACTGCCTCCTGAGTTCTGGATACCTTTTGTATTTTTCAAATAGACCTGCGACTCCATTCATGTAGGAAACTAGCAATGAAGACATTCAGATCAGCACCTGTTCTGGCACTCAGAGAACCACCTGCGAGGGAGTCTGAGAAGTTAGTGACTTCTCCAGAGGCTCAGAACCAGGATGTATCCGAGGCGGGACTCAGACCCCCGTCTCCCTGACTCTGAATTCAGCTGCCGATGGATTCTATGCCTTAATTTCCCAGATACTCTGCCTCTTTCCTGGTAGCCTAAAATGGCATTGGCTTTCTAATGCGTTATCCACACCAACCCTCTAATTTCTGGACTAATTCATTTCTTGGGGCCCTGGATTCATGCTCTGGGTATCTAATTAACTTGGTTTTGAACACTTCACTCAAGAAACGAGAGCAGCAGGAGGCTTATCTGATTCTTCCCTGGAACAAATGAGATCATCCAGTCATCCAACCAAATCCTCAGTGTCAACTGAAGTGAAGCCAGGCCCGGGAACCGCCTCCTACCTGAGACATCAGGGTGTCACAAGCTGAGGCCATGCCATGACCGACCGAAACTCCACAAATGTTGACAAACTAGAGCAAGAAAAGACAAAGCTTAGCAATCAATCCATCAGCACACGTTTCTTACTCTCATCCTACATGGCAGGCACTAGGAAAAGAAAAAAGGGATCATCGCCTGTCCTCAAGGAGCTTACATTCTAGCAGGGGAGAAAAGTACACGTCTGTCTATAAACAAATAAATAAAAGACAATGGGGGATGGAGGCATTAGCAGCTGAGGGGATAGGAAAGGTCTATGAAGGAGTAAAGTAGGGCTCCTAAGAGGAAGTTGGGCAGACATCCCACGTTCCTGGTCCTCGGTCATATGTGGTAGGTCTTCTCCTGCTAGGGCTGGGCGGACGTTTCAGGGGCAGGAGCCCTGAGGACTGGGGATGTCACTTGAGGGGTGCTCAGGAATGGGAGCACTAGGAGAAGGAGGGGAGAGAAGGAACAGAACTGTAGCTTCTCTCCACAAAGGGATGGCTTCCCCCCGGTGAATAGGGCAGAGCACTCACCGCGATGGCCAGTGTTACCGAAGCCAGCTCCAACCTCCCCAGGTGCCCACAGAACACACTGCTCACCACAAAGATCATGAAAGTCAGCAGTTGGAACAGGAACTAGAGAAAAGGAGGAAGCGAATAAGCATAGAAGAAGTGTGCTGGGCACTGTGCTAAGCACATTACAAATATTATTTCATTTGAGAAGAGGGACAAGTCAAGAGTTCTCTGAGTCCTGGGGAGTGGGGTGGAGTGGGGTGGAGGCATCGAACTTGGAGCTAGATGGGACCTTGGAGATGGTTAGGCCCATCCCCTCATTTTTTAGAGGAGAAAATCGAGGCCAAGAGAATGGAAGTCACTGCCCAAAGCAGAGGTAGGATTCAAATCCAGGGCTTCTGACTTCAAATGCTGCGATCTTTCCCTTACACTAACGGGGCATGACGGACTCTCCCAGAGTAACTCATCCCTGGGCGCTTCCAGCAGGTCTGTGTTCAGCTCAGTTCAATTCAACAACCACTTTTTAAGTACCTACTATGTGCCACGCACCGAGTCAGGCACTGGGGATACAGAGACAAAAATGAGACTAGGGGAGGGGTCTCCATCGGCAGTGAGAGGCCCTGCTTCCTCTCTTGGTTCTTAAGGAGCTCACGCATACACAGAAAGAATGTCATCTGCCAGTGGCTGAGGCAGAAATCAGGAAAGGCTTCAGGGGCGAAGAGAAGCAAGAGAAAGGCCCTATGATGAATTGTCACCAGTGGCTTGGAACTCCTTTCATAATCATGATTATAATCATAGCCAGTACTTACATAGTGTAAACTTTCTAATTTATACAGTGCTTTATAAATATTACCTCATTTGATCCTCACAGCACAGGTAAGTGCCCATTTAATAGATAAAGAAACTGAGGCAGACAAGTAAAGTGATTTGCCTAGAGTTACACAGCTAGGAAGGGTCTGAGGCTGGATTTGAAATCAGGTCTGCCCGACTTTAAGCCTGACCTTCCCTCCACCGTCCCCCCAGGTGCTTTGCTGTAATGTGCCACCATGTGTGCCCCACCCCCCACGTATTTGGTGCCCTGGGAAGGCTAGAGAAGAAGTCCCGCTCAGAACACCGGGGGGATGGTGGAAGTAGGGAGATTGGGAGCGAGACTGAGTGGAGCATGCTGAGGGTCTGGGAAGCCTTCTCCTCTCCTGAGGACGCAGGTGGACACGTTGTGGCATGGCCACTCTCTGATCCCACTGGAGAAAGTGGTGGGAAGGGGCATCTAGTTTGGGAGCGCGGGAGTGATGGACCCCATCTCTGCCTTCCCTCCCTATCCTTTTGTCCCCCACCCCATTTAGGGGTTGTCCCTGGGACGAAAGCTCTTCCCCTTTTGACATTTATTATCCTGTGACCTCAACCTGAGCCTCAGTTTCCCCATCTGGAAAATTAAGGGGTTGGATTAAATGACCTCTAAGCCCAAAGGTCCAGCCTGCTTCTGTTTATATCCAGCTCAGGAAAGCACCAGGTGATAGGAGATGGGGACCCCGAGGTGCTCTCCCCTCCTCCCCAGCCCTGTCCTCTTTCTTACCAGGGGTCCTGAAAGTCTGAAGAGATTCCGGACTTCTGCCACAAAGCCTTCTGGGATGATCTTCCAAAGTCCCTTCCGTGGGGGTGCCTCCCCACTGCTCTTGTTGTCTCCCGAAGGGCCCTCATCAGTGACTCCCGGGAGCTGGTCCATTCTGACCCGAGGCTCTAGGACCTCCCACGGCAGATGGAAGACTCACCAAATCGGTCAAGGGCTGTTCCTCAGACCCTGCAACTAAAACTCATCGGCAGAATCCAGGGGCTGGAGAAGAGATTTCAGCCGGATCAAAGAGCAGGAAACCTTAGCCCTCCTTTCTCTTTTGCTGGAGTCACACGGGAATCACTTGAAGCCAGGGTAATGAATAAATAAACGAGGGCGGCCAACCAAGGGGTGGGGTCTTACAGAGAGGGCAGAGCCAAGGGGCAACCAGAAGATTCCAGCTGGATGGAGAGGCAAGATCTAAGGCAAGCCTCTGAGTTGCCCCTCCCCCCACCCCCACTTCACCTGGCCTTGGCTGGAAGGATGTCCATTGGCCTTTCCTTCTGGAGCCTGGCCCCTCCTGGGTCAGGCGAAGCCTGAGTGTCCAGGCTAGTACAGCCCAGCTATTCAGGACTGCCCTAAACAGGGAAGCCACCTGGAGGTCCTAGCTGTGTCCAAGTCATAGGCATAGTGTTGCTCCAAAGGATCACCCCTGTGGCTCTGGAAGGCATCACAGAGGATGTTTAGCCCCCTGCCCCCTTATTTTACAGACAAGGAAACTGAGGCCCAAGGACGTGAGGCGACTTGCCCAAAGTCATGCCCAGGGCTCTTCTTCCTGCCCAGAGATCCCCTCATGGTCTCACAGTCAGTGTACGGCAGAAGAAAAACCAATTAAGCACCTCCTATGTGCCACGCCCCCAGCTGGGCACTGGGGATACAGAGATAAAAAGGAGACTAGGGGAGGGTATATTATAAGATACTATAAAAGGAGCCCATGTGACATATTCTGATTTATCTATGAAAATTTAGTATAACTAGCTTAAAACATTTATTTTTTCATAAGAAGTATTATGATTTAAATGGGGCAACTAGGTTTACACAGTGAATATAGAGCACTGGGCCTGGAGTCAGGAAAACCTGAATTCAAATGCAGCCTCAGGCACTCACTAGCTGTGTGACCCTGGACAAGTCACTTCGCCTTGTTTTCCTCAGTTTCCTCATCTTTCAGATGAGCTGAAGAAGGAAATGGCAGATGCAGGTTAGATCTATTTATCATGCAGGATAGTGGCTTCTGTTACGTAACCTATTTGTGTGTAGACCAGAATACTTAAATTTTGTATTTTTCGTGTTTGTGTTTAAACTGTTACAATGGTACAAACCTCATCCCCAAGATTTGGTGGGATTTTTCACATGAAAATATTGTTATGAATTTGTATTAACTGCTCCTTGCAGTTCACACCCCTACTTCTAATCCCCCTCCCCCACAAAAGCTACAGAGAATTAAAAAAAAAATTTCTAAATCCAAATTTTTTTTGAATTTCTGAGGTTTCAAAGCTAGTGCCTGAGGCATCCAGCCTCAGTGAGGCGGTGGTGAGTGAAGGGCTTGGAGGCAGGAAGGAGAAGCTGGAATCCTGCTTTAGTCACTTACTGGCTGTGTGACCCTGGGCAAGTCACTTACTCCTCACCCTCAGCGTTCTCACCTGTCAGGGGGGATAAATCACCTACTTCCCTGGTTGCTGTGAGGATTAATGGGAACATATGTAAGACAGTTTTCAAACTTTAACTCGCAATGTAAATATTAACTGTTGTCATTATGACTTGGTCCCGTCTCATGGTGTCTGGTGGGAGAAGGGACAGGAACAGTAGACACAGATGGGCCACTCCCGCACTTATCGCACTTATCGCCGTGCCTTTGACCGCACGGATTTTCTTTACCACAAAAAGGTATTTTCGAGGAAGAACTCCCTCTGTAGCCTAGGCAGCCCCCTTTCCTCTGAAAAGCATCAGGGACTCCCAGGACAGCTGTACAAATCCCACTGACCTGCAAGTTCAGGGCACGGTCCCACCCTGGGGATCGGCACCTTGTTGGCTGCCCCACCGGCAGGGGAGCCAGATGGAGGACACCGGAGAAGGAGCTTAAGCCCCACCTGGCCTGGTCTGAGGGTTGCCGTCCCCCTTCGAGCTCCAGTAGAAGCTACACAAGCCCCAACATCTTCTTCTTGACCGGCCGGGGCTGGAGTCCAGCCAAGCTTGATTTAGGTACCAACGGGGCAAAGCGGGCTGGCAGCTAGCCAATAATCAGCAGCTTTCTTCTTGGGACGGTATTCCACCACAGGCCCATCCTTCTCCATTTCCACCACTTTTGCACTGCATAACCTTGGACAATCAGCTGCCTTAATTTAGAAGCATTCAGATATTCCCATATCCCATAGAAATAAGGTAACCTTTGCTTGGTTTGCACTTCATCCCTAATTGCTTTGTTTTATTCTGTATATTTCATTTTTATCTTAATTGTTCTTATGACACTGTTGAGATGGAGTCCTCTAAAACTCAGGGATGCCTGTGGCTCGGGAATGGGACAGAGGTCCCACGTCCCCAGGTCTAAAAGCAGTACAAATCAGAATCAGGGCTTGAACCCATAGCTTGCTGATCCAAACCCAATACTCTTTCTATTGTACCGCTAACAGCATTGTACGTGGTTACCAAAAAAAGCTGGAAAAAAGATACATGCCCAATAATTTGAGAAGGGTTGATTGGTATCTTTTTTTTTTTTAGGCAATTGGGGTTAAGTGACTTGCCCAGGGTCACACAGCTAGTAAGTGTCAAGTGTTTGGTGTGAGACCGGATTTGAACTCAGGTTCTCCTGACGTCAGGGTCGGTGCTCTATCCACTGTGCCACCTAACTGCCCCCAAGAAGGGTTGAAAAATAAACATGTTGTATTATTGTTATAGAACGTTATTGTGCTGCAAAGGATGATCAGTATGGAGAATTCAAAGAAATGTGGGAAAATTCATAAGAAGTAATGCAGAGTGACAACAGCTATCAAAAGAAGTCCATACCCAATAACCACAACTCTGAAAATAGAGTCAACCTGAACAGCAAAACTGTGGTCAATGATGGTAACATATTGCCAAGGTGGTAGGGCATCCCTTCCTTGTCTTAATAACCCCTAACTCCTATTCCATCAATTCCACTGGCTCCCTATGACCTCCAGGATCAAATAAGAAACCTTCTATTTGGTGTTCAAAACGCTTCTATTATACAGTGACTCTGGTCTCCTGGCTGTTCCCAGAATAAGACACTCCATTTCCCAACTCTGGGCATTTTCATTGGCTGTCCTCTCTGCCTGGAACGCTGTCCCGCCTTCTCACTTCTTCCTGGTGTCCCTAACTTCCTCGAGTTGGGTGACAGAGGGACAGCAAAGATGGATGAGCAGCCGTGGAAAAGGGCTCAGGATGTCCTCACACCAGAGGTGCTGGTCCTCCCTGAACACCCCAAGCCTTCATCATTCCCATAGTGATCACAGAAGAGAATTCTTTTCAGCATTGAGGAGAGAGGTGCCCGAAGAAACCGGGGCTGGAATGTTACTTTTTTTTTTTTTTACATTTAACATATTTTAACATAAACATCTTTTCCTTGTTCAAGATCCCTATACGTGATGCCTGAAATGTTCTCGGAAGAGAGTCCAGTTGCAAAGCATGGGGGACTAGGCCACTTTGAGCCTCTTTCTCCCAGCTGGAAATGCCTTAGCTACAGATTAATGTTCACTTAAATGTAAATGTTTCTGGCATGTTTGAGCCTAAATCACAGAGGACATTATTAGTGTTAATTTTTTTTAATACTTCCATCTGAAGAATTTTACTTTTTCCATCCAGACAAGATGGCCTGCGGGAGAGAGGTAAGCAAACATCTCCTTGTTTTATACCTCAAAGGATCATCGATTCAAAACTGGAAGGGACCTTAAAGACAATAGTGACCAACCTCATTTTATAGATGAGGAAACTGAGGCAAATGGAGGTTAAGTGACTTGCTCAGGGTCACGTAGCTGTGCAGGCAAGATTTGAACTCAGGCCTTCCTAACTCCAAGTCCAGAGTTCTATCCACTGGCCAGGGGAATGACCAAACACTGGAAAGATTTTGTGCTTCTCTTAGACTGGTGACCCCTGAGTGGTCACTTGACCCTCCCTGGCCCTTCTAACAGCGTGAGTGTTGGAAGAGTTTGAATATTAAACTGCTCCAGTCCAGGGTGTTGGCAGTGGGACGAGCATGAGATTGCATTTACTTAGAAATGGGAGATGAGATTGGTTTTCTATGGCTTTCCTTCGGATTTCTCTTCCAATTTCCTACAATAAACATGTATTTAGTAAATGCCTACTGTATGCAAAGCAACACGCTACAAGGTGAGGGTAAAAAAAGTAACAAATACATCACTGACCTCAAGGAGCTTATATTTGACTGCAGTGGGGGATGAATTAGGTGCACAGAGAAGTAACTATATCTATATCTATATGTGTGTGGACGTATGTGTGTATGTATATCTGTATATATATGTTTCTCTGTGTACACAATGTCTACACATACACGTATACATATATACATATATGTGTGTATGTACTATGTGACCCTGAGTAAGTCACTTAACCCTGTTTGCCTCAGTTTCCACTTCTGTTAAATGAGCTGGAGAAGGAAATGGCAAACCACTCCAGAATCTTTGCCAAGAAAACTCCAAATGAAATCATTAAGAGTCAGACATGAGTGAAATGACTGAACAAGAATGAAAAATGTGTGTATACACAAATATATAAATACAGACACACAAAAACAAATACAACACAATTTTGTGGTGGGCAAGCACTTAACGCTTTGGGGAAGCTTGTAGGAGTAGTGAGTAGCAAGAGTCTTGAAGCTTTGTGGCATTTCAAGATGGGGAGGGAGAGCATGTCTGGCACATTGGACAATCTGGGCAAAGTCATGGAGGCGGGAGATGACAAGAACAGCAAGTGACCTAATTTTACTTATTTTATTACTTCTTTGCCTGGTTTATTAGCATGGTGGAGGACAGACCCCAAGACCCAACTTAGCTGGAGAAGTTTCCAGTCTCACATGGGGTGGGTACCCGACAAGATAAGGCAACTGCTGACTGCAAGATGAGCCCCAGTGTTGGATGGGTCAGGTCTATGTGACATGCAAGCTAGACTTGAATCCATTTCTCATGTTTCTGAATCAACAGGCTGTTTGGGTGAGTTTGGAAATGTTGTGAATCAATCCAGAGTCTTCTCATTTCCATCCTTTCTTCAAATTTGATGTTAAAGTTTGACAATTGTCCTAACTAGTTAATGGTCTGGCTGTGCATGGAGGGCTGATTTGGAAATGATTTCCCTGTCACTAAGCAGTTGTTTCCTGTTTGTTAAGAAATAATTAAGAGGCAGCTTGGAACAGTGGAGAAAGAGCTGGGTTGCATCATTGGGAAGACCTGGGTTCAGGTTCCTTTCTAACACTTACTGATTGAGTGATCCTGGGCAAATCACATCACCCATCTGTGACCATAATCG